ACATCGGCGGTCCTCAGTTTTGCAAAGATCTCAGCCGCATTGTGGTTGTATTTCACATAAATGCTTGTTTTGTGATTCTCTATGCAGGAGGAGATGGACAAATGCTTGGAATTATTGAACAATCAGTTTAAGGAGATCAAATTCACCTGGAGAAATCGAAAGAAGATTGGGTTCCATTTCTTAACGTTCCAATTAACTTATTAGAGAGCGGTTACATGACAAAGTGGTGCCAAAAACCAAGTAATAGTAACATCTTTGTCCATTTCCTCTCCTTTCCAGTCTTCACACACAAAGAGGGCGACTGCGAGAAACATGTTTCGGAATCGCGCGACTTGGCTCGGCAAATAGCCATCTCCAATGGCTGCGAAATGGTAACTTTGCGAAATAAGTTTAGAAACAGAGCGACGCCCTAAAACGAAAGGTTTAGGAGAAAGGAAATCCCGCTTATGATGCCCTTTATTAGCGATGAAGTAAGTGTAGCTATAAAACGATGCTTAAGAAGGACAGGTCTAGGGGAACCGGTAGCGATAGTTGAAGTACCACCGAATACTTTTCGCCGTCAGTTAGTTCGTAACAGCCTTTATGACTGTCTACGTGAAACAGAAAAATGCGTAATTTGCCCTTTCGGCAGGGAAGGTGATTGCATGAGTTCAAATACGATATACCTGATCTCTTATAATACCTGCAGAGATGAATATATTGACGAGACGGGCAGAACATTATATTATCCGTATAAAAGAACACCTAGGTCGCAAACGAAGAAGAAGGCAAAGTGCCGCAGTAGGGACGTGTAGGATACAATAGATAGAGGAGACGACTTCGGTATAGAAATCCCTATCCTCGCACAGGATGCTAAAAGGATAAATAAAATAAAAGCTCTCGGCGTTGATCAATCCCTGAGGAATGCGCCATGCATTCGACTTCATTAAATATGATTGAAGTGATTGAATGCATATCTAGCCTTGACAATGACTCGCGGTGGGCTACCGATGTATCGAGCCAGTGCTGCTATCCTCCCAGACAAGTCGGGTACCAATTTTCCGACTCCAAAGAGATGGAGAGTTTGGTGGGCCATGGGCGCGAGGATCGATTCCACGTGTTTGTCGCAGTGGCACCACCAACCACTGTGCCACACTCACCAAAATGATAAAACGCGAAATTCTTGCGGCTTTTAAAATAAACGCCAAGAATCCTAGAATAAATAGGGAAGAATGCCCTATGATCACAGGTGATCTAGTCCCGTACTTTTGGTACGAGGTGGTGCATTCATCAACTATAGGCGATTCTAAGCAGCGATTCTTCATAAGCGAAAAGCACGTTAAAAAAAGACGATAGGTTTATCGATAAGCTGCTGGTCATGTGATTGAAATTCAGAGTCTCATCTTTTGTTTGTGTAATCGAAGCGCTTGGCGTAATAAATTGCAGAACAACGTACTCTTCTAGGTTTTGAAAAGTCACACTTCGTGTTTGCTCAACAAGAATATCCAGAAGATTTGATCAATGCCGAGCTTAATAGAAAGTAGGCCGTGGAGACTATGAGCACACCATTGGACCACTTAACACCTTTACTGTACTAGAATAACCGAGAGCTCAAAATCGATAAATAAACTTAAATGGAACTATCGTGTTCTACACGATAGGATGCGAGGTAAAGATACCTATCGCCGAAATTGTCTGATCTTCGCCATTTTGCACCCCCTTGCAGAAAGGTTGCAAGAAAGCTAAGCTTCGGAAGGGTTCAGCATAATTGATAGAATCCATAAGATAAGCAAATTCTCTGAAATATCAGAAGTTTGCATGGTGTTGCTGGGTCTCATTTTCAACAATTCAAAAAAGATGCGTGAATCCATAGTCAGACGGAAGTGGTCATCGAATCCATAGAAAATTCGGCGTCTTAACAAGTTGTACAGTAATCCAGCAGTTGTAAAAGAACATCACTTCCGGGATTTCGTCAGTCTACGACGATATTACCATGCTGTGGAAGAAAAGAGTCCGATAAGTTGGACCGCTTCCCGAATTTTTTCGCCACTGCTCTAAAAAACCTCATATGAAAACTGGAACATAATAACATGAAAGTACAGTGATGACATCGTTCTATAACACCGTGCATTGATCATGCGGAACGAGTAATCACCAATTTAGACGCTAACTACGTGCAGACGGATCTATCCCTGGTGACTCAGCATATTTAGCAAAGCGAATATTTTCGAGTTCTCCAGCTGTGTGCTTCTATTTCGAGAAGTTCAACGTGTTCGCCCACTTCATTTGACAGCTGAGTAGAAAGAAAACAGCTGCCTGAGGTGCTTGCAAGAACATCGAATGTACACTGAAAGAGACAAATAACACTGAGGTCTGTGCATGCAACTCTTCGACTGCACAGTTGTTTTCTCAAACGCACAACCTGGACATTACTCTTGAATGGCGTAATTGCAGCAGGCGCCAATCTAAATAATGTCGAGAAGGCGATGCTAGCAGGTTACAAATGAGTGTGTAAAGAGAACCTAAGGTCAACATTTCAGGTAAGGTGGTTTATGCTTTAAAGGTCTAATATCCCATAGGCTAGACATCTGTTGGCCTAAGAGGCAACAGTTGGAGATTATTGAGTTTACAAGGATGCTGAAATATAAGCAAAACTCGGAACTTCAGGTGGACTTCGAACACACGATTACCCTTTCCAAGGCTCGCATGCCATCTGCACTTTCTTTTAACTGATAAGTTTTACGAGATTAATGCGAAAACGATTAACTCGGCTAACGCTTCGACGCCTTTGTCTTCCTCAGAGCCGACGATCCGAATCGATCGTCCATTGTCGTTCTCGCAATGTAGATCTTCGTGGTCGCATCGAGTGGAATCTTCTAGACTTGAACATTGCTTGGATGAATTAACATCACTTTTCGAAGTCTTTTACACAGCACGGTTGCAGAGTGAATGACCGCCCTTCGACAACGATTTCTTCAGATCTGAACAATCCATCCTGCACCAGTCGGTACTATAGTGACTGACACGTAGTGAAGCAACAATTTTGAGAACCGACTTTCCTTTAACCCCATCGTGGATAATCAGTGGACTTCTTTTCATTAATGTGCTAATACGAGGCTATTAAAAAATTGAGGAAAAAGCCCCAACACATAAGCCGTTAGTATTCGAGTGGTGCTCCACTCACGAAGATTCGACTCGAACGTTTACGGAGAACCACAACGTGACGGCTCTGAAGAAGGCAAAGGCGCCGAAACGTTAGCCAAATACAGTTTTCTATCAACTTCGTGTCAGTTTGTCAAGAGGAAAATACATGCCCAAGCTGTTAGTGTTGGAGTTCTACGGGGCGTTAAACCAAATTCGTTGTATCATTATCTGGATGGCCAGATTTTTTAATGAGAGCGTTTTACAAAAAACGAAATGCCCTGCGTGCCTCAAAAGTAATGAGGAGGTTCAAAGGCTCATGATACTTCATTTTTAGGCTGTTAGAAACTATTCTTGAGTGGTTATAAAAGTTACATCCTTCGTTTTGTATGGAAGTCCGAGTCAGATTATGCCAAGAAAAATTTTAAAGTTGTTGACTTAACTCTATTTGACATTTGAAGGAAAAGTTGCAAAAAATGGTCTATATAGGCTCCGTAAGGGTCAGTACATCGAAGGACCACCCATATGTACTTTGAGACTATCTTGGTAAGCAAATTTTGTGTATCGGGTGTTGCTGAAACGATAGTATAGAGGCCAATGGACGGTTTATTGCGTGAAAAAGACCACTAAACTGTGGAGAGCTGAGGAAGAAGTTTTAACAGTATCCATGACAAAAAAGACGACACTTTTGCTAACATAAAGCCGCAGACCACCTAACGGTTTACCTCCTCATCGTGGCTGGAGGTATTCCTGGGTGTCGGACTACCATGTACATCGGGGAGATTCGTCCTCCAGCAGGATCTCCCAAGCTGAGAAGGAGTCCGGCATTCTTATTAGGAAGCCCACCTAAGGGTAAACAAATACCAGAATCCACCACCGTCCTGGTATCAAACTAGTTGCATGGTGACAAATTTCCCTCTGATCCACAAGGGCGGCGACTGTCTGTGTTGGCGGTGACCTAGCGCAGACTTCGCCCAGGCTGTCCACGGAACTCCAGGGAACAACGATGGTTAAACCAGCAAATCTCCGAAGAATGGAGATTATGATGGCGCCTGCACAGCCAGTTAGGACAGTCCATCCAAGTTTCCAAGTAAGTAAGCAAAGCGGCAGATGATCAATGGCTGCAACCGAATAGAACTATTTCTCGACACAAGCGAGCTAGTAGTATCCTGCTTTTCAGTTATCAGGGAACTAAAAAAACTAAAAAATGGCATTTGCGTCCCTTTTTGTACATACAATACAATACGATATACGGTGCAATCCCTTAAATAGTTTTGTCAAGCGACTGGATACGTTACCACAGTACTGAGGATCCACGGCTATTTTAGCTCGGTTTGAGTTGAACGGAGACCTCGGCTCGTTGTGCTCTCGAAGAGAGAGCCAATAACGAAATTACGAATACTGTGTAATGATGCAAAGCCTGCAAATTATATCGATTCATTTTTAGCAAGCATCCCAAGAGCGTCAACACTAGACATAGAACAAAAACAGGCGGAAAACGCTTGAGCCGCCGATGACTGCTTTTGCCCTAGCATGAGTCATGATTTACTTGGATAACGTTGATAGATTATTTTTAATCTGCAGGATAATCACTTCTGTTGTCGGATGGTGTCTGATCCGCACTTTAAAACCGATAAACAGAACAAGTGTATGATCCATTAAGTATTTATAACAGTTTTAGAGAGAACGGCGCACACATCTCCACAATTATAACCCTAAACTCGTTCACATGTCTTTTCTTTAAAACGGAACCCTTGTATTTAAATAAGTACTATCTAGCATTTTATGAAAATTCAACGATGTCGAATCGAGGAATCATAGTTCTCTGGTTCGAATCTAACCAAAATTTTAAATAACTTCGCAATGAGAAGCATACAAACCTATGAAGCCAATGATATTTGTGTTCCAAACCTCATCAAGGTTGACCATGATGATGACATGATACTACTAGTTTCTCACCATTTGGTTCCACTCCTCAAGATTTTCTTTGATACGAGAGTTGCTTTTTGTGTCGCTAAAAATCCTAATTGTCGCAATGCATCTTTCAAATTAGAGATCTTCATCTCTCTCTTGTTATTTCCATATTTAGATACTCTCAGTTAACCACTCAGTAGTCAACAATTAACTTTTCGTTTTGATAATTGACTCTGAATTTGGTTCTCTGAACTTGTCTAAAAAGAGTTTCTGGCTACGTTAGGACTAAGTTGGTGCCAAGATATTTTTAAACCATATATTAAGTGCTGGATTTGGCATAGTATATGATCTTCAATCGATTAAATAGGGGGATTTGGAACTATCCAGGTCGAATGACAGCAAAACTCCCACCGATCCATCAATCTGGTGGATGTCTGTGGTGGAGACGTGGGAACACTCTAGCGCGGATATCTTAGGATTTTAGAAAAAATTATGCTGATTAAGTATTCAGTGAGTGCGTGCGGTTAGTAGGGACGAAGGATGAAAGATCGTCGTATCGCAGCGTAAGCCTCATGCTGACATGACCTCTAGCTTGGGTGTTCGATGGCAAAAAGTATAAGGAAATAATGAGGAGAGTTCTTAAGACTGATAACTGGGAACGAACCATCTATTTACAAGTATGTTAAGCGATTACTGTTTTACAAGCAATTATGACAAATTTGGCAACCGTGGCAATTAGCACGTGCGTTTTTTTAAACGTAACGTCCTGGAACTGCCCAAGAAATATGAAATAACAAATTAGTAGAGAACACGTAAGAAGTGAAACGAATATCTAGAGAATCTCAAAGGTCGAAGTCTAGATCCGAGAAAGCCCGCGGCACTTGAACAACTTTAACAATGAGACTGAGGACAAAATTAAGAGCAGGTAGATTTCTGCCAAAGTTCTGAAGAAATCCAACGGCCATGTGCCAACCAAAACCCAAGCTTTTATCTTTATGACTTATATAGAGATGGATGACATATAAGCAATGTGCAAGATTCTTCATAAGGAAATCACAGGACTTAATAGTGAAATCATTTGAAAATCAATCCTCAGGCAAGAAATAAGATGGATTTGAAGTTCTTAATTATCGAAAAGATCTGATTGTCCCTGTAGTTCACAACTGCTCTGATGCAAAAGTAACATCTACAGGCTAATCACATTACTAGAGAATGCGACAACGTATGAACTGGAAAACGTAATTGTGGTAATCACAGTGTTTAAATTTTTATTTTCTGTCTATTACTTTTTTGATGAAGGGAAGGAGAGGGAGGGAGGTGTATTGTGTGAAATACAACAATAGTGGTGCTGAGATATTTGCAAAACTCGGACCCCATACCAGATTTGAACCTGGGATTACCCTTTCTTGAGGCTGACGGAGCTTCGGCTTCACTAGATGCGGTGCAGATTTATGCTCCCAAGATCATTCTCGTTGATTTCTGATGCTATCGCTAAAATGAAAAACTGGCTAGAAAAAAGAAAAAACAAGGGCCTCAGTGGTGCAATGGATAACACATAAGCTCTGGAAATGATAATTTTGGTGTTTCCCATTCCAAGAGATGACACTGAACAGTACTGACTGATGTTTGTTGGGCATATCGCTATGCCTTTTGGTCCGCCATCTGAAAATTTGTCGAATCCCACGATAGGAGAAAAAAGTTTTTTACTTGCACAGGGATTTTTCAACCTCCAGAAATTCACGGCTTCTGGGCAAGTTTCATAAATATCTCCAGAACAAAGTAAATTATCACTTTGTCTATCGGCGGTTTGGGCGACGTTTGATCCGAGGGAGTGCATGGAATACTTCAAACCCAGCTCCTGTTTGGCTGACACAGTTGATACGAATTCAACAGTATATTTCCTTGAATAGAAGTGAGATCCGTGAGTGAGTGGAACAAAAGGGCGCCGACGATACGAGAGAGATCGTCGGAATTGCCTTCGAGGCCTCTCTGTCCGTCTGTACGTCTCCGTTCCGCTCCGACTCGTGTTCTTGTTCCGCGCGACACCGCCGCCGTGTTGTGCCACCACCACCTATCAAGGACACACTTGCACACTTTTTCATTAGCGATAAGGAAGTCTATGCGATGACAACGTTCCTCTTCATGCTTCTTTAATCTCAAATCCTTCTACATACGAAGTTTGTGGAACCTCGAGCGTCAAGCCTGTGATGAGGAACTCTTCATTGTTATAATACGTTAATCATTACTTCATACATGAATAACCCTCCTATACAAGTAATCGTGTACACCAACTTACCACTTTCGTTTGGCTGCTATGTTGCTGGTCACGTAAGTTCTCTTCCTTAGAGTTTTGAGAAAGCCGTCCGAACCCGTCGAATGGGAAATTCTCCACTTTGTGATTTTGTCAGTATGAAGGATTTTCTTTAAATGGTAATGGTTTAATCATAAGTGGGTTTCCAAATGGAACTCCTGAACCCTTTACCGCTTGAGCTCTCTACGTAGTTGAATCCCCGCCGTGAGACGTAGTTCCACACCCAGGAACATCCACTGGCAACAATGAGGCGGTAAATTATTACGAGGAATAATAATTAGTATGAATAGCAATAGTAATGATAATAATAACAGTAATAAAAACTTTTTACACGATTAGATACCGCTATATTGTGCTGGATTCAGCATTTCTTGCATTCGATTCGTTTCCTCGCACTCCTATTCCACGAGTCTTCGGATTTTTTCATATAGCTGTTGCTTGAGGATCTCTGGTCCTCTGGCTTTGAATGATATCCGAGTCGACTCAAGTCCTGGGTTAGCCTACGTCGCCAGCTTGTGTGGGTTAGTTGGAGCATGCTGATTACAGAGGAATAGGGTACCAATTTTCCAACCCTTGAGGGATGGGATTTGGTTGGCGCGGAGCAGGGTCGAACCTGCGGTATGCCAAGCCGCAGAGAGTGTTGCGATAAGGAAGCTGGCCTTCTGCTGGATAAAGCGTTATATCTAACGTCCGGTATATCAAGCTCAGATGTTATCCAGTGTGTGTTATAACCAGCTTCGTCTTTTTTTTTCGTATAAATCACTGATTAAGGACATCGAGTTAAGCTGATAATTGAAAAGAACCTTTTCTAAAATCCAGACTTCCCCTGTTTACTTCATGAATAATTTTACAAGGGAACATTGTTGGTGGTTTTTGACCATATCTAGCCAGACTGTCAGCGATGGCACTCTTAACATCGGTTTGGAATCGCCATTAAATCGATGAAATCCATACGAGACCGATTACTGGCTGGGCCTCGATTAGCACTCGTTCAAATCACCACGGGAATCGGCACCGGAAATGTGATTTTGCAGTCGCTGAAAACGAGAAATACCTTGTGTCAACCGATGGGCGCTTGTAAAAGTTAATGCGAAACCGCGGAAGTTTTTACTTCTTCGCCGTCGTCGTCACTACCGCGTCCTCTCCGTTTGGTATTGACCTCGTTCTTCGGCGACTCTCCGATCATGTAAAACACACCGGCCGCCGTACGTCCAGCCAGTCCTCCGTCACTCGTGGACACCTTCACCAAACATCCGGTTCAGGCTAAGTACAAACCCCTTCGGTTTCGTCGCTAGTTGCTTCATGTCCGCCGCTATCGATCGGGATCATTGTCTCTCAGTCTTCGCCAATGGCTCCCATCGATTCCATAGTGCAATTTTCTAGCATCAAATCACAGCTTCTACACATTATGCCCTTCTCAGATTACTATTTTTATTTCTCTGAGTCACAATGGAGCATGTATCAACTGCTTAAAAGCGGCTTGCTGTACACAAAGCTTGGAGCAAATCAAGCGTCCTACAACGAAGCACACCATGATGTGAATCTCGATTACGGGAAGGAATGCCCAGAAACAAATGGAATTTACTAATCCTTTGTTGTAAGCTTGCTGTTGCTATCGACACAGGCAGACCATTAAGTTAGTTTGCCCATAGGCGTTGTCCATTAAGTTAGTACTCACACTGGATATTCCCCTTTCAATAGTTCAGAATAGAACTAGCTCCAAATGCTGAGTAGCCGAACGTGAATACAGTAAGATTTGTCCCTTCCTAACCGGGATGTTTCAGTTCTATTGCTATTCTTTTGCGAATTTTAGAATCCTCTAACTTCATAATAATAGCACATGCTTCTAATCGACGTTCTGTTTGTATTAAAGCAAAATGTTCACTCCTACCCTTTTCTTCATTCTTTTAGCAGCAACGTATGGTGAGGCGATCCTTTTCATTGCAGTCGTACAAATGAATAAAGAACCAAGATAGTGTTGATCAATTATCTTAGCTTCACCTTCAAGAGACCGCGTTCTCAGGTCTTTTCTGACAAGCTGAAGTCTTTTTATTTGGGGCCGAACTGAAGACGACTAATAGATCGAAACATTAGTCCAGCGAGACTTTTCACCAACCTTTTGATAGCTTAATAACCCAAAGAAATATCTACTATATTTGGCGAGGCTAAATAAAAGTCGATTTTTAGAAATTTTTTTTTGGTCACAGTGAGTATTTTTGTTTTTCTTTCAAGCGGAGTTGCGTCCTTAGTTTGAACAACTGAAAATGTTTGAACTCTACCACCTGATAGCTGATAGTATATAACTTGTCCCTAGGTGCTATATTTGTCAGCAAAAATACTGTACTGCTCCTAGTGATACGTCATTCCCTTTTTCCTCTAACTGTTGAACGCTTGCAGTTAGTTATACGTCTTGCATCCGTTTTGGGTCTTCAGTTACTCTTTTTGATCGTGACCTTTCGCGTTTCCGCAACACTTCGAGAAAACCTGCATCGCTTGCTACTTTATAGAGCGAAGATGAATATGTTTTAACCACATCCGACAGGCCTGTCCGTTTTGCACGAAACTATTCCCGTCCGACTAGTATTCGATGCTGTCTTTGCATCTGCTGCAAAACATCTGCCTGCCCTTTTTCCCTTCCTCCATATAACCCATCCACAAGTCCTCATGCCTCTCACTTTCGTCCGCGTATTCTTTTGCTTCGTCTTTCTTTTTTATTCCTTCACATGTATTTCATTCCTTGTTATTCTGTAATTCTCTTTTTCTCTTCTGATTCTCTTGACATCCGTAAATATAACGATTAAATTTCCAGTGATGAAAGGGATGGTTATAATTAGTGTGCTAGTGATTATTCTCTGGAATATGACGGATTCTGCACCTATTTGTCGCTCTTGCACCAATCACTGCCATCAAAGTACGAACTCATCCGATACCTTCAATAGGTAGGAACTACGAGACTTTTCAAGTACAAGTTGTAATTAGTCTGACTTTACACTTTCAATTAACAAAACTAAAATTTACTTGATAGAGAGAAAGGCGAAGCGAAGGACCCGCATGGTGTGGTTGTGAACGCATTACCTCCTGGAAAGGACAATAGCGCGTTCGTTCGCCACCGCAGACACCTGCGGTCCGGAGTTTTGCAAATATTTCAGCATCATTGAAGTTATATTTACTTGATATTTTTTCGCAAAACGTTTCTCTTGTTTCTAACGCAAATCACTCTTGTTCTGGCTTAAACTTCAACAAACAAGTTATTCAGAAGATACAACTGCAGTCGCTCGTTGACTGCACACTGTAGCAATCAACCACATTTACCCCATTCCCTTAGAGGTTTACAGCAGCTGGAGAAGCGCAAACTAATACTAAGAATCGTTCCGTCTTGGAGGAGACCTAGTAGCAAGATAGGAAGCTTCTTTTCCATTCACAAGGGCCTGCGACTACAGTGATTATAATCTTGAAACGCTCTGGAACGGGGCTCCAAGGAAAAATATTGCCAAACCAGCAATGTACGTGTCATGTCGGAAACGTGTTGGAGTCGTGTTCAGTACTTTTCTTGTTGGTAGGTCATTCACATGCCAGGTATCAAAGGATAACCTTTATAGGACATCTTTTAACGTGATGAAGGACTTTCGCGCAATTTCGGGAGAGTTCAATGTATTTGGAAACTACTCCCATGTGATTATTACAACTGCTATTTCGGATAGGGTAGCATTCCCATCTTTCATCATTGCGACTGCGCCACTGCTTTAAGACCTGATTGAGTAATCGAAGGGTAGGGAAGAATGTGCCAGTTTGCAATGAGCTTTTATTCTTTCGCTCTTTGGGATGTATTCATTTTTGCAAAGGATGCAGCTCACTTCTCTTTTTCTTTTCTGAGGCGAATTAACATGTGATGACTTGGTGGTGACATGAATTGTAACATCGGCTTCGTTATTCGGGACAAGATCTCGTATGAGAACTGGATGGAAACAAGCCTGTGCTTTGCTATTTGCTATCACACACTCTATCAAACCAGCCATCATGGCATCTACTCATTCGCTAACAACACCAAGAACTGAGCAATTCGTCCATTACTGCCCAATCAAAATGTACCTTAGTTTAGGAATCGGAAAGAGTAAACGGTCGGATCTAAGCGCACATCCTTAAAATGTATTATGTTCCCTACAAAAGCTCATGTGATGTTCGTGATTTACAAGGTGGAAACACCGGTGATCACACAATCGTCGCTTCCTGTTCTCTACAATCTTTTGTGATGTCCTGTCAAGTACGATGATCTGTGGTGTCAAGCATGTGAAACGGTTCTCGTTTGCTAGCATTCCCCAACGACTAGCGATGTTTCTTGAAGTAGCATGTTTATACTAAACTACAATGAACAGTACACGACCGTCACGGTAGGGATGACGCTGGATCACGGCGTCATCGGAGCGCGGCCTACGCCATAATTTATCCTCACCTATACATTTTAAACGCTTGGAGTTCGTCTTTTGATTTGATAGCCCCGTCCTCACTGGCTGTGCGGGCTCCAGCATAATCTCCATTTTTCGGAGACTTGCTGGTTAAGCCATTGTGGTTCCCTGGAATCTCGAGGAAAGCCTGGCCAAAGTCTGCCTCAGGTCGTCACCACGACAGGCAGTCGCAGCCCTTGTGGATCAGAGGGAGATTTGCTACCATGCGACTTTGACACCAGGACGCTGGTGGATTTTGGTATTGGTTTACTTTTAGCCAGGCTTCCCGATGGGAACGCTGGACTTCTCAGCTTGGGAGACCCTGCCGGGGTCGAATCCCTCGCTGTACAAGAAAAATCGTCTATACTGAAATGAACGTTACGTTTTTTTAATGAAAAAAGGCATAGAAAAAAGGGTGTTGATATTCTATGGTTTTCGAGACCATCGAAGATGATCATCGACAAGGCACTGAAGAAACCACCTCGAAGACGAACGTTTGCAAGTCGGTAGTTTTTGGATTATCTTAAGTCTCAGAGTGAGGGAGATTCGGAGAGATTGACGAGGAGTTGCTGCGTGATCACACAAATGGACATAAGTGGAGACGAGATCCGTTCATTTGTTTAGCTTACAATGGGTTGATTACAACGCTGTCGCCATTCCATGCACAATCATATCAAACGTTTCAAATGAGATAAAACATATCACTACTTTCTTATGTAGGAATTTAAGAAAGTAAAACAGTTCACATGACCGTTTCTTTAACAAATGATTGATAACCACCGATGGCGATGTCACACGTTTTACCTGCGGATTGACACTGTTCATTGATAATCGGAACTTGCTCTTCAGCAAAAAAAAAACTGAACTAATAGATTCATTGCTGATTGAACCAAACAGTTCCCTAAGTTTGGTCGTCCTTGAACCGGTGAATTCTAGAATTTCCTGTCCGCGAGTTTTTTTTAATGAAAAATCTTAGTGAAAAGGATGATGGCGATGAAAGACGTCACCAAGACGTCTGTTGGGATATTTTCCCATTACAGGTGACTATTCCACAACAATGACCTGTAGGCATAGATATTTGGAGAAATAAGAATAAAAATCTCTTCGGATGTCGGTCTAGAGAGATACGCGACTACTTTCACAAATTAGAGCTTGCCAGAGATATACTTATAATTGAACGGGACAATGGAACCTTGAAGGATAAATGTAAGAGGAAAGACACAAGTCTTATAAAGAAAGTGACTAAACATGGACCATACATCTAGCTACGTAATTCAAGACGAAGGAATTGTTGAGAAACTGACCAGTTGACAAAGAGATCTGTCGACATTTTGTAACATAAAAACAATCTTGTAAAGAATCTAATGAATGTTGAGTAATATGATGTTCGAATTGCCATCACCTGTCATCACCAATCCCACTAACTTCCCGTTGGTCGTGAAGTGACTGGACCGTGCGCCAGCAAAGTCTTCTTTTGTCCAGCAGTAAGGGTCTGAAAACACCATACATTTTCCTTTTGGGGCCATCATGAGGAATTCTGATCATCCGCTTGATGGTCTTTCTGCTGTGTGCTTGACAGCTTCTATGACCTCCGCTTTTGTCCAGCGATTGCATCGTGACGACGAATCACGTGTGCGACGCACTCGATTTTCGACGCTTTGACGTAACTTTGACTTTGACATATCTCTCTTTAGTCTTTGACCGTCGACGTGTATTTGAACTTCGAATTTCTTCTTCAACTTCAGTGAAAAGGGATGTTTCAATCGAGTGGGCATTCTGTAAAACTGGGTAATTTTTCATTGTGATTGCGTAGTGCTCCGGATCCCGACGCGTGGGTTAAGACAGGAAGAATCGAAAATATCAGATGCTGGTAAAGAGTCGATTGTTTTTTGTACTCATCGCTGCAATAACAATTTTTTTAAGTGTAGCAAATTGCTTCATCCCCCTAAGGGATACGCCGTGCATTTGGCTTCATTACGCATCATTTGGAAGTGATTGAATGCATATCTGGCCTTTACAATGACTCGCAGTGGTCTAATATATCGAGCCAGTGCTGATATTCTTCCAGACTAGTCTGATACCAATTTGCTGACCCCAGAGCGATGGAAGGCTTGGTGAGCCATGGGCGCGGGGAACGATTCCACATGTGTGCTGCAGCGCGCCTCCGACCACTGCGCCACACGCGCTTTGGCACCAAACTTGTCTGGGAGGATAGCAGCACTAGCTCGATATATTAGACCACTGCGAGTCACTGTAAAGGCCAGATATGCATTCAGTTACCTCCAAACTACGTAATGAAGCCAAATGTATGGCGCATCCCAGGGATTGCTCAACGCCGAGAGCTTCATCTTTTTTTTATACCGCTTGAACATACGGAAAGATTCATTCCGTTAAGAGTGACATCGAAATCAATCAGATTCTTATGAAAGTTGTCTTCTTGAGATTTATTCGAAGGCCAAACTTTCCATAGACGCTGCCAAAATCATCCAATATACGTTCCGCTTAGCTAATATTTGCTCTTATACAGACGATATCACCAGCAAAGTGAAAATGATGCAGTTGCCGCCCGTCAACTTTCACTTCTATGCTATCATATTTCAGTGCTCGAAGATGGATACAAGTATGGAATCCCTCAGTTTAATCCAATGTTGTTGTTGTATAACGGTGAAATTTTGGTTGTGAACTGACTACACACATCTAATGAGTAGCGGCGCCCTCTCTGTCCAGCGCTTCATTAACCGCTTCTCTATTAGTTGAGTCAATGCCTTTTTTAAGTGATAAAGACGAGATAAAGTGGTCTCTTCTACCCATGCTTAAATGACATGCGTTGTCGCATAGGTGTGTCTACCATATTGGGTTCCTTTCAGGCCTCTACTTTCTTGCATGGTTCTTCTTCGTCTAGTGTTCTGTTAATCCTGTTGGAGATGACCCGAGTTCAGAGGTCGTAGATGACAAACAACATGCAAATTGGGCGGTAGTTTTCGATATTATGTGGTTCTCTAGTTTTTGCAATAACACGGTTGACTTTGGAACATTTGCACTGTGAGAGGTGTGTGGAAACCAGAGTGGATGTGTTGATGTAGACTGGAAATATGTTCCTCAGATGTTTTGATCCAATCTCCTCACGAATGAATGCTGTACAGTACCTCGTTGACAAAAAGCATGTCAAACTTCGAAAAGATGAACCGTTGGGCCAATGTATCCATAATCCCTGATCTGATATTAAAGCAACGGTATGTGGTTGTGGAATGGATCAGAGTGGAAGCCGTGTATGCTTTTTCCCATCGCATTTGAGAACCAGTGACTGTTCCATGCCGGAGGGTTCTCATTCTAGCTTCGTAACTGACGAAGTTTCGGACGCTATGCCCAATATCTGCAGCTTCAGTCAGTACTATGTATCTTCTCTTCACATGACGTTTTGTCGTGCCCTGAAGAGTTTTGCAAGTGTTCAGTTTACGGATTGCTTGCAACTTGTAGGACATATTGGCGCATGAGCTCGAGTATGTTTTACTGGCTTTAAAGACATGTATTATGGTAACTCTCAAACTTCCGATCTTCTCCGCGCTAACATAACGATGTTAAATGAGCCAGTCGTACTATCATCGACGTTGTCGATAACAGTATCTTCTCTAAAGCAGAGCAGTGAAGTGAATTAATCCCGATTTACGACAAAATATCGTGCAGTTGTCTTTTTTCTGAGAAAAGAAGAATCTGGTGCGAAGACTGTGATGGCGCAATGGTGGAAATTTTTGGGACAAAGGCGACATCGGTCAGGCAAATTCTCAGTTTACTACGATGTGGCGTACTTCGTTGCGACGCACTCCATTGAAGGACTCCCAGTCCAAAAACCTCGGTCATCATTATAAACTCACTTTGCTCATTTCATACCAACTCGTATACCGATAATACCGATATGGTGCTCTTCAGACATTCTCTGTATCTAATCTTAGAGTTTAAAATACCAATGGTGACATCAAAAAAGATATGGTCTTCTTTGTAGAACTTCTCTAAATATGAACGCGTAGACCTTGTTTTCGTCATAGCTTGTTGTGGTTGTGTAAACAACGGTGATTGTGAATGCCGCTATTGGTCAACATTTCTTTAATCGTAAACGTCCTTTTCGGGTCCTTTGTTATTCAAGGGATTCGATGTTATTAGTCAACGTTTTGTTAACATAACCGCCAACGACAACGACTCCTCTAAAACGTTCAGAGAAACAGTTTAGAAAGCGAAATGGGAACACTGAAATGTTCCTGACATTTTAATGTCCTCTATTCCCGTATCTTTCGGGATCAAAGAATGAGGCCCATTTATCATTATTTATTTACGGTTTATGAGGTTAATACCCATGGAAATCTTTAATGCGTCTATTCGAGATTTATATACTCATGGAAAGGTTAGCAGTCATTTCGAGAGTAGATGATTAACTTATTTGTTCGAGGGAATTCTCTACCACTTCCTACTTGATTCCAGCCCTTTGGCCGTAGGGATACTAACCGCCTATGCGCAATGCTCACATCTCATTCATACACGGTACACACAAGGTTTATATCAATTCGGCGTAGTGCTAAGGTAAAATGATTGTCTCTTTTAAATCCAGCTGCGTCTCGATTCGAGAACAAAGTCGCTTTCGATGCGCATTTAACTACACCGCCTAGAGGCTCAGCGTAGTCTGGGGACAAGCTTACGAGTACCGGTCAAGAATGGCATCAGTAGTTCATTCAACATATCCCGGAATATTAAGAGATATGAGCAGCAGTGGAATGCATCAAAACACATTATTGTCTCTTCAGCACAGACACTGAGCTGATCGACGACCTGGAGCGGAACGCACTCCGGCAGAAGAGGGACGCGGATGTGGAGTACCGTGCTTGTTCGCACTTTCAAGTTGAGATGCTGCTCATACCGCTTTCCATCGCCATGATACCAATCATCCTTTGTGCGCTGATCACCTGCACGTGTTGCTGTGGACCGAAAGAGTCTAGAGGTTTGTCGATGTTTGTCTATGTTTCGACATTACCTAATTGCACGGTAACTTTCTAATTCCAAGTTGGATACGTATTTGTCGGTCAAATTCCTCTAGAAGATCATTTACACATCGAAGAAATGCGCGGCACGTGTACTCGTTAGTATGAAATATTCCAATCATCTATTTTTAAATCTATTTATAAATTCTGAAGACCGACTTTCTGTTAACTTCGGAATTAATAAATAATTCCCTGTTTTTACGGTAAGCATGGTTTTACTGACGTTTCGATGGGTTTGGTCTTCTTCATAGCCGTTTCTCATGAGTCTTCGGCTAAATATCCCGCGCCGATGAATGGGTAGTCGCGAACTGTGTGAACTGTTCACCACGTCGACCACCCAGTGGACGGCTGCTCTGAGGAGAACGAAATCCACCAAAACGTCAGCTTTTGGGAGTAAAGTGAATAGCCTCGTGTATTACTATAAAGAAAACAGCGAGTTATCTATCCATTAAATCACATCTTCAAGGCGTTATTTTATCTTGTAGAAACACAAAACAAAAGGCATTTTCACAAACTACTACTACTATTATTATTGTCATTGGTACTACTAATTATTGTTCACTATATTTATTTTTATTACCTGATAGTTGATACTTGAACGGTCCGTCCTCACTGTTGTGCGGGCCCAGTATAATCCCCATTTCTTTGGAGTTTTGCTGGTCTAGCCATTGTGGTTCTCTGGTGTCCCGAGGTCAGTCAGACTAAAGTCTGCCCCAGATCGTCACCATCCTTGGCAGTTGCCGTACTGGACCAGAGGGAGATTTATTACCATAAGACTAATTTGGTGCCAGGAAGGTGACGGATCCTGGTGTTGTTTTACTCTTAGCAGGGCTTCCTGGTGGAAACACCAGACTCCTCAGTTTGGAAGACCCTGCCAGGAGGATGAATTCCTTTCTGTACATTGCAGCCCGATACACAGGAACACCTCCCAGCCACGATGAGGCAGTAATAAACCGTTGGGATTATTACTACTATTATTATTATTATTATTTATTAATTATTATCATTATTACTACTATTAAATTATTTCAACATTGTTTCAACATTTCAACAACATATTTCAACAACAACATTTCAACAATGTATTAATTATTGCTATTATTATTATTATTATGGGTGCTAGTAACGCAGTGATTAGAGGTGTGCTAAAATACACGTGTTGTTTTTGGTTAAATCCAGTGTCTGTTCTCAGCAGACCTTCCATCCTCCGAGATGGGCACCAAAGTTATTTGGTACGATAGCAGCACTGACTTGATACATAGGTAGGCCACCGCAATGATAGGAACTATACAACACAGATATGCTTTTGGCCGTCTCAAAAGCTACTTGATGAAGCGGAATGCATGCCGCATCCCAAACGGACTGGTAAGCGCCGAGGACTTTTTGCCCTTTTATTACTAAGTTGGTTAGTTGTCAAGTAATTAGTTAAAAAGTTGCCACTAAATTAGCATTATTTCTTCATTGATAAACTAACAAAGGGCTGATAAAAAGTTTATCCGAGTTGATTGTCCACAGTTCTTTCTTCTTCCAATGTGGGCCTTCGTGATTCGCATCAAGAATCTAGTGGAGCATCGCCCGAATTACTTAACTTCACGAGTACTCTTTTAAACGAGACAGTTTTTGCTGATACTGATTGTCCGCCGATAATCGTTTGCTTTAATTCGATTAGATACGATCACGAAGACCCATATCGGAAGAAAGAACGACTGTAGCCAATCGACTCGGATCAAACCAGCTCTGAAGAAAGCGCAGATGCCAAAACGTTAGCAGAATAAAGTTCTTTGTTCAATTTGTGTTAGCTTATCAATGACAGAATATATGTAGATTAATCCTACCGATGTTAAAGGAAAGTTGGCTTTTGAACTGCTATTAAGCATAGAAGGATAAAGCTATCGGCGTTGATCAATCCTTGAGGGATGCGCCATGCATTCGATTTCATTAAGCATCGTTGGAGGTGATGGAATGCATATCTGGCCTTTACAATGACTCGCAGTGGCCTACCGATGTATCGAACCAGTGCTGCTATCCTCCCGGAGAATTCTGGTACCAATGTGCCGTCCCCTGAGGGATGGAAAGGCTTAGGGAGCCAGAGGCGCGGATATCGATGCTGTGTCTGTCGCAGGGCACCTCCGACCACTGCGCCACACGCGCCCCAAATGAACTGTTATTCATTATTACTATTATTAGTCTCCATTTTGTCCAGTAGGAATTTGTCACCACAGATGCATCAATTCTTTTTCGCACGTTTGATTCAACTGTGGGTCTTCATTAAAGGTTTTGGCTTCAGATAAATTCTCACTTGAACAATGAAAGAAATTTCAAATGGATAGCAAGCCTTGAGATGACAGGATTTCGCGGCCTTAGCTCATTCACAGCTTTTAATGTTTAAATACTTATTTAATATACACATGACTGTTGATGGAAAAATCACGGTCCAGGAGATGACAACAGTATCAACATGAATTGACTTAGCTTATACCAATATATTTTATGCTTATGGGTATACCAATAGAAGTTTCCCATTTTAGGAAAGCTGCCAGACGACTTCCTTTCTTCTTTCCCGATGTCAAAGAAGCGAAGCCAAATGAACTCGGAAGAGATGGAACTGGAGTTTCGCGATGGCTACGTGCAACGTAAAGACTCAACACGAACGAAATTTTCCACGGTGGTTTCGTACATCGAGGATCGAAGAGAGAGTCTCTGGTCACTGCGGACCGAGGGCGGAACGCCAATTGGCGGCGCCGAGTCTGGACTGGACATAGCACCCCCCGAAGCAAATCCTCCCGTGACCATCACCGACCAGCTGCGCAAGACACCCTCCATGGAGTCAATCAAGAGAACACGATTCAGTGACACCATATCCGTAATCAGTACGGAATCATTTTCCCGTCGATAGAAACTTAGGAACTAGATGAAGTACAGCAGTATTCCTAGTAGAACAGAACCTTAGGTTCATTCGAAAAATGTCCTCATCATCACAGAACACGACTTTACTGCTGAGATATCAGAGCTGTAGTAGCTGAAAACAACCAGTTTGCTTTCTTACTCATAATGGAGATTCGTGAATACAACTACTGGTCATTCCCACCATGAAGTTGATCTCTCAAGTCCACAACAATACTGCCATGAAATAGGTGTTGGCCGAGCTTGATTATTACACGAACTTCTTGGAGCCGGTTTTCTACGTGTAGCGACTAAGCGCACTTCGCCGCGCTGCTGTTCCTTGCCACTTATGACACAGCCGACCGTTTTATGGAGAACGTGCAGACTTAGGCTTGTTGCTATTCCTCGTGCTTTAAGTGTCACATCATCCGACTCCTTTGCTGCTCCTCTGAGAGTGCTGTTTGTAAATATGTCACATCACCACTGATTCTAATTACGTGTTCTCTATATATAACAATGCGATGAAATGTTCCTCAATCCAGAATTCTTAGAACGTTCTTCAACTTCCGACATAACAGTCACTAAAGGACAACAAAGAACAAAGAAATGCTACAAATTCCAATGAAAATATGTTGTAATACATGGTTTTACCTATAAATCAAGAAAGGGTAATCACTAATATCTTGAAACATCTAACATCGAATAATCGACAACCGTACAACTTTTTCTTTATTTTACACAACCCCAGACTACATGTCGGGCCGATGCCAACACTCTTTCATCCGGTTCGCCCCATCTCACCCATGACCTATGAAAACTTTCGAATTCAGTAGTTCGCCTGTTTCTTAAAGATTTTTGGTCTTCTTTATGAATGTCTTTGAATGCTAGTCGACTCAGCACTAATATTCATCGTTACCTTTTACGGATTGGAAGGAGCCAGCACATGCTAGACAAGCCCGGTACTAATTTCCCGATCTCGGAAGGATGAGAAGCCTGGTTAGCTCGCGGCCTGTCGAAGCTGCGCCATGGTCGTCGTGGACAGGATAAGTATTTCGACGCTAGCGGCTCCCTTGTTACCGCATAATACAATAATTCAACCATTATAAACTACATACATATCTCCCGAGTGAATGATCGAAGTCACTGAATCTAACTGTTCGACACATTTCTTTTACTGCCGACCACTGTCTCTTGCATAAAGATGTAAGTAGTGAAAGTCTATAATACCAAGATTTAAAAGGTCATGGAATCCACGTCATGGATTCTTTCCATAAAGTATGTGAAATCAAGGACTTAGGTACTCAACTACCGGTTAGGACGAAATAAACATTACCTTTTTAGATATGTAATGGTTTGACCGAATTGGGATACATCATGATGTTACGTGAAAATAACAGAGATACAAGTTGTAATGTGTACACGAAAAAACAAAGGGAAGCAAATAAACTTAAGAAGAGAGAATGAGAACACAGTGACACTAATATGATTCACTCAGACGTCCCTCTACAACAGAATCTACATAATATGCCTTATGACAGTAAAGTCACGATAGAAAATTATACGTCATCGTTTATTTTTGCGGCGCAGTTTCCTCTCTGGCGTGCAAACAGACACCCCGACTTGGCTGGATTCGATCTCCTGGAAAGATAAATCCCAGCACATTCTACCATTTGCAGTTCATTCTACGAAAAAGTTAGCTGTAAAAGAACCTCTTTAGAAAGTTGCGCACTGTCAAGTTGACACTGCAATTTTGATTGTGCTTCAAAATGTAGCATCAAATCAGAAATCTGTTCTTGTAGTTCACTGATTTTCTGAAAGGATGTGTACGGACACGAGCATTGACGTCAATGAAAAAAGGTTAAACTTCGAAATAGAAGGCACTTGCAAACGGAATCTTCAACGACTGTCTCAGTTATCTATCATAAGAACAATATTTCGGATCCAAATTTAATGTAACGCTTAGATGTCTGATTAAACTAAACTATATGTAAATTTGCAACAACAAGTTTTGTACTCGGTGCTACTGTTATAACAACTTGTAACAATTGTTGATAGTACGCCAGACAGTATAAACAATGCCTTGAAAATGGTACAACGAGAGCAAAACCATTATTACTAGGACCAGAGAACGAGGAAGGTAAAGAAGAGGGCTTAACTATTTTTGGATGGTACAACCACAATGATGCTGAGATATTTGCAAAGCTCCGGACTACAGGCATCTACGATGGGGAACGAACCGCGCTATTACCCTTTCCGGTAGCTAACGCGTTCACCACCACACCATGCAGGTCAAGGACCAAATGGCTCAGCATCATCGTGTTGTATCACATATAATACCTTGTAGTGAAAAATTGTAAAAAATATACTTACCGCTAAAGAGAGCTGCTCACAAGATGAACATTTATTCTCTAACTCCAAAACTTTGTTCTTCCACAATTGCTGGTCCTTACGTAACATTTCGTTCATTTCTCGTTCATCTTTCAACTCTGAGGTCACCTAAATGATTTCGCAATAATGTCTTGCTAAATCAAATTCTAGCACCCATACAACTCAGTTGTAATTTATTTACTGATAACAGAATTTCTGACATAATAAAGACCACAGCAATAGTTGCAAGTCCTTTGTATGAAAAACAAAATAAAAAGCATTAATATTATAGAAAAACCAACGTCCTTTCAGTATTCCTCTTGAAAAGCTTTCTTATAATTAAAGACAAAACCTTAGCGAGTTTGCTGACGACTTGCAAATGCTTCTTTTCATTTGCTTCCTTACTAGCAACGGCAACTTGCACTTGGTTTCGCAATTTGTTACATTCACTCGAGGACTGCGATAACTTCTCCTCCAGGTCATCAATCTTGAAAGTGAGGGTAACACTCTTTTCACAATAACAATCGAAAAAGTGTGATATAAACCTGAGCTTGCGCCATCTTCTCCATATTATTCATAGCTCGTTGCATATCTGCTAAACGTGCCTACAAAACAAACACCAGACTACAAAAACACTGAGTTTTGGAGTAAGAGAAATATGAATGTACCTCAAAATACATCCTTTGACTTTCAAGTTGGCTCGTAAGAAGACAAGTATATTCCAATTTTATTCCATCCAGTTTATCTTTTTTTTCTTCAGACTCCGCCTTAAATTCAACAATTTATCTAATGTCCTTTGTAGGCACAAGTAGGCTATTACTAGGTCATCCAGAAAGTAATGGTTTCATTTCTTTAACATATTGACCTTAGGTTGTTAAGACATTCGCGATAACACTGTGTTTACAACCGAGAGAGGTTAAAAAAAACTATTCGGCTAACATAACTACTATAACGCTGAGATATTTGCAAAACTCCGGACTGCAGGTGTCTGCGGTGGGAAACGAACGCGCTATTGTCTTCTCCGGGGAGTAACGCGTTCACCACCACATCATGCGGGTCCTTCGTTTCGCCTGTCTTTCATCTAGTTCCATCGATCTTTTGCCATCAGCAATCACCCTCCAGCGGGATTGATCTAGTGTGATTTGGGCTCCCCACGGGTGATTGCTGACGACAAAAGATCGATGGAACTAGCTGAGAGACAGGCGAAACGAAAGACCAGCATAGTGTCGTGGTGAACGCGTTACTCCCCACTCGTTCCCCACCCCAAACACCTGCGGTCCGGAGTTTTGCAAATATCTCAGCATTATAGTAGTTATATTTCTCAAATACCCTGAATACCCTGTCGTGAAAAGGAATAAGCAGTGAATAAAAGGGTTAAGACTATTCGGCTAATACTTTTCAATTTACGCCTTGTTCACAGCTAGATCTATCCGTCGACTGTCCGAGCGAGGTTACTTCATTCGAGCGCTGCTCCACTAGATTCGACTCGATGCGATGACAAACATCCACACCGGAAAAAGAAACAACTGCGGACAATCGATTCGGATTAGTGCGACTCTAAAGAACGCGAAGATGCCAAGACGATAGCCGAATAAAATTTTTTTAAGATCAACCTCGTGTTAGCTTACCAATGAAAGAATACAGTTCTACGTGTTAAAAAAGACCACCGGAAGGAACAAAAAGCTACGTAGGTTATGCCAGCCATTTAAGCAACGTTAAGATGATACCCTATGGAAGTCGCTTATCGCGAGATTGTCAAAAGGATATAAGTTTTGCGTGGCTCATTAACATCAAGCAGTGCGAACTCTCCTTTACAACTTCTTAAATCCTGGCGAAATCATTTTTCAGAATCTTTCGTTTCACCACTGCTTTCTCAAGCAACAATTTCCCGCGAAAATCCTCATTAGGAAAACAATTACTGGAAATCCTTTCAGGTTTAGAATGCTACAGCTTTAAGTCATAAAATAGCGCCATGTTGGCAAACATGCCCAGATTTTCGCGATTATTAATTCAATTAATAAGGATTACTAAAAATTGAGATATAAGTATTTAAATTCGCGGGTTAAAAGCCGCCACCACATTCTGAATAACCCAATAATTCGCAGTAAATAGAAAATTGCACACCTCTGCACCAACTCTTTGATACTCTACCACCTTTCCCTCGGTGTCAGACTGAATTAGGCGATGAACATAGTTATCTCCTGCATAATCCCACACTCTTTGCCCTCCAACTTGTAGGCAGAAGGTATGTGAGGTGAGTTCGAAATGTCTAAGTAACAAAAATTCAAAAAAGGTGCTTTGATTGTGGAACAAGGCCTAGCAGTAATCGCTTCGAACCGGAACGCATGTCCTTCAGCGTAACGCCCGCAACCGATATTTCCACATATCAGACATATCCATAGATCAGAGCTCTGTCCACAAACAGAACAACGCTGCTCAGCCACAACTTCTGGTGTTTGAATGTAGCGACATACTGGACATCTAAGAATTTAAAATCAAATAAGAGGAGCTAATTTCTATATATTTAGAGGCTAACTCTTTTGTAAAAAGAAAGCTAACGTATTATGACAAAGAATCTTAGCAACAGTTCCTCACGTTGTATCAGTCCATTGTTCAAGACAAGCGGCATGAAACGCATGATTACAGAGGATAGAAACCACACTGTCGTCCATTCGTTCCAGACAAACAGCACAAGTAGGAATTTCTGTGAACGAAGATGAAGAACCTTTACCTTTACTTGACTGCCCTGCCCCTGTACATAAAGCCGCCATCTCTTCCTCGGAGGTCTGAAATACGAAGTGGTTTCCAGTAAAATTGTGTAGTACCTTCACAACTTACACATTCTATCCTGTCAACAAACAACAGTCTGCATCGATTCTGCTCCAAACTATTGAATCGGTTCCCATTAAACTCATCGTAGAACACAACAGCATCATTCTGAAAAAGTCCGTTCTTAGGTTCGCTAAGGTCTCTTGCTATAAATGTAGCCCTCAGTTTCATAAAACTCTCACATTTTTCATCTCCATGTTTCGTGACAACTCTATTCTCGCTGATCAATAGCAAAAGATATTTCGCTACACTTTGTTTTGGCAAATACCAGAAAGACGAATGCCAAGTCTGCAGGAAAATTTCACCTACGGAACAGAAGCTACAGTTTTCTTCTTTAGAGAAACCCTTTCATCGCAAGACCACATGAATAAGCGAATACTCATCCGTGAAAACATGCTAACAACAACCAAACAATTTTAAAACGAACGTGCGTCTTAAACTTGAGAATAATCATATATTCATTCGGTGTTGAATCCCTGATAATCTTTACTCGTTCTATTGTTTCAATTTCCGACCCTGAAAAAAAGACATACACACAAACACACAGCGTACAATATAGCAAAGTTCCCCTCACGAGATAAAATGGTAAACTTGCCTATAAACAATAAGATTTCTCTAAGTGTGATCTGGGAAGGAACGGCAATCATGCACAGCATTCTGCATTGAACTTCTCGTCCCATGCGTTCATCGCTTAAAACCTATTTATTTCAGAAAAAGCCAAAGGCTACCCTCCATTGTTCAGGAATGACGACTTTACGGTTAACAAAGAACTCTTTAAAATTTTCTCACTACCATTCAAAGTTTTGCTAGTTAAGCCATTATGTTTCCCTGGTGTCCTGAGGTCAGCCTGGCCAAAGTCTGCACCAGGTCTTCACCACCACGAGCAGTCGCAGCCCTTGTGAATCAGAGCGAGATTTGCCCCCATGCCACTTTGATACCAGCACGGCGGTGGATCCTGGTACTGGTTTTTTCTTAGTTGGACTTCCGGATGGAAACGCCGGACTCCTTCTCAGCTGTGGAGACCCTGCCGAGCGGACGAATCCCTCGTTGCTGTACATCGCAGCCCGACACCCAGGAACACCTCTCAGCCACAATGAGGCGGTAAACACCGCTGGGAGGTATACAGATATATGTATATATATATATATATATATGTATACCTATGTATATGTATATATATATATATATATATACGCAATAAAACACACGAACAACTACCCACGTTTCCAGCTAATTTTTGAGACTCATCGATTTTAAATGTATAACCCACTATAAATATGAGAAGAAGCATACTTATACTTAAAGAAATGTAGTATTCCTTCGGTCTTTTCCACAAACGGATTACCGTAGTAGTATGTGACATGATCAGGATCTAAAGATGAAATTTTTGATGTCTAGCATTTAACAGTAGTTAATTCTTAAGACCTTAAAACATGCTGCATTGAAAAGAATCTCCAGTTTATGTCAAATTACAATATTAAGCGCTAAAACTAGCGATATTAAGACTGGGCTAAAACTGGCGACAGACTTTGGAGTTCTGATCCGGACATCGTAGATCGACTTGCTTGTGAAAGCGTCTTCGCAGAAGTTGAGCTACATTTGTCAGCTTCCAGAGACTCAACTACCACTTCCGAATACGTTCTTCTGCCTCGGAAATTTGTGGGCGGTTGCATTTCATGCTTAAAACCTCGACATACCGCTCAATAGCAAAAGATTAACTCGAGAGAATACCGAGACAGCAAACCGTCACGTATGAAGAAGTGTTCTTGTCAACAGTGATTGGTGCTAACGGTGCATCGTCGGTGTCACCGTCACTTCTGTTGCTACTTGTAATGGGTGGACTACGTTTCTTTAAGCCAGACATGACACGTCTGTTGTTCCTGTCGATATTTAAAGAAGGTCGATCTGGAAAACGTTACGATGGCCTAACTTCAATATCCACTGTATTTCTATCACTGACCACTATAAAACAAGGCCTACCGATATCAAGCTTAGAGGACTCGCAAAATGAAATTTGTGGGGCTCCGTTTCTCACTTCAAGTCGAAGAATTAGTGGACGATAGTAGCTCATATGCTAACTGGAACTCCAACATCTACAAAAGCCACTAATAATAGCTTCTAATGCAACAGTATAGAAGGATGACATGTTCCTCATTACATCTACGCAACTCCAATAGAGATCTTTATACACAATACAAGTCACACCCTCTAATTGAAATGTACACTTTTCACGTAAATTTCTTGGAAAAAATAGCAAAAAATAGATTGCAATGTGCAAAAGAAAATACCCATAATAGATAAGAACCATGATTCTAACAAGTTTACAGCTCCAGAAAGTACAAAATCGATGCTTTACTAGATGTGCATCGTAAGCGAACCTCGAAAGTGGACGCACACTGGGACACCAATACCGATTGTTGCTAATTCCTAATCAGAACAAAAAGAAGCTAGACTAACACCGATCTATAACGAAGTAGCAATGGGAAAATCCAGTTCCCAGTAACGTCTAATTCGTAAGACAAGCTGGCGGCTCCAAAACGAGAAATTACGTAAAAGAATATCAACGCATTGAGTAGTACCAAACTAGGAGAATATACATTCAGCTCGAGACCAAAGCTCGGCAACGATGGACAATTCCACTTCTGGAGTAGACTGATGGCATCTTTATTGCATCAGCAAGCGACGTGTTGCAAATCCCGCTGACAGGATCACCACCTTGTGCGTAATACAGAGGCAGAAAATATGAAAAAGCGTTCCAAATTTGTTCTCTGTTCAGACGGGAAAGGAAGGTAGCGCGAAGCTGAAATAAAACACTATTAATCGGATGCAAGGGTTCATTTGGACTGTCACTGTTGGCAAAACGGAGATAGAGGAAAATTGGGAAATTCGAGGAAAATAAGTGAGAAGCCACTCCATATGAAAATATTTCTGTCTACATCACCTTTAAAGTTGAATGTGTTTGCTTAGCAATTCGAAGAAATTCTTATCACTTCCTTTAACATTCGCGACGTGTGCAATGATTTTAATGCATTAGTTGCCGAAAGTAGTTGAGCCTTCAAATTTGAAAAAAACTTCACAGCTCATTAAAAAAACTTTCACTATATAAAACAAAGACAATCCGAACTTCCATAACCGACTTTCCTCTAATCTTCGCTCTGATCAATAATTCAATGTTTTCTTAATGACCAAACACGAGGTTGTTATTACGGCACTTATCCATTCACAATAGCTGTTTCGGTGGTTTCATCTTCAACAGACACTGGAAAGGCCAAACTGACATGAAGTCTACTCAACCAAACACTTCCATAACTTCAGCAGATGAAAGTTTTTACACAAGTTTTCGTTCGTGTAGTAAACACCTTCCTTTAAACACTTACTGTCGTGCTCTTTGTGAGCCTTTCTGTAATTTGATGGAGATCAACCTCACAGAGTCTTAAATGGATGAGCAATGTGTCCGGCTAATGTAAAAAATTAGAGTTCTGAAGCCCGTAATATTTTTTATTCGTTTTAGTAGTGGAGGATGAACGGCTATTTGGTGGCGACGCTTGTAAACAACGGCAGCAGTTTCATCCAGAAAGTTATTATGGTTTTTTCAGTAAACTAGCATTGTGCAAAAATAACTGTGACTTTACACATCAGCAGAAAATCTTGATGACTGACTTGATGCTGCGAATTTACTTGGGTTATTTTCAAACTTGTAGTGTTTCTATACCGTCGACAAGCAATGAATAAAACGTCATTATTTCAGCTGTGCTAGAAAACATGCCGTTTAGTATTCGATGCCATCAGTGTGGGTGAAATCTATCCTAGGAATGTTCTAATGAGCCATAAAAAGCACAAATTGTGTATAGGACACTTAGCTTCTAACTGCAAAAATTCCAAACTGCGAAATGAACTATTTTTTGCGCAACGTCTTGTGAAACATCAGTGGAATATAGTGTAAATAACTGTGGATAATCCTATGTTTCCAAAGTTATACAATGCGGAAGCTGATTAATAAAGTATACTTTAGTGAACCCACGTAAGGACTATGATATATTAATTCGGAGTTCTTGGTATGAGCAACAATCTCCGTAGTATAGTTGTTATAGGACTCAATAGGAGGAATAATTTGCCCGAAAAGCAGTTTCATATATTATGTAGCGTACAATAAGAAAGAGTCGGGAAAGTACAAGATATCGATTTGTTTGAATTTTATTGAATTAAAAAGCTTTCGACTCAATCGATAGAGAAACGGTTATGGAAATTTTGGACAGTCATGCTGTCCCTAGTTGATAAATAATGTACATTCATGGAAGCAATTCACAACCAAACCATCATTCTGTAATCGTTCAACCTTAGCATTCGGTGGCTCGACAAGACGGCAGTATATCGCAAAAACTTTTACATTTACCACCACCTTTTACTCCAGCGTTCTTTGGACAAAGAGACCCCAGTGAAAAAGTTGATATATTGGTACAAACAAGTGATATTCCCTGAAGAAACTCTCAAAATCCAACAATACTATAGTAAAAAATACGGTACGTAAAAACTTTCAGAGCTAATATACTCAAAGACCACAAGAATAAGTATAGAAAAAGGTGGAAAACTTGCAAGTATACATCAAAAGATGGTAAACTAATGGGAAGACACTCTCAATATTACTGTTAGCCCCCTATTCTACACGCTGGTTTTTTGCCCTTAATCAAGAACATTCTTCACCTCACGTAAACAATGTGCGGCTCATTTTTTCGCTAATTAGGAAGGACATACGTATAAAAAAAATTGTTCGTCATGCGAATGAGAAGTAGGTCTTGAGTTTTTTCTGTTACGGTTACGAAAATACTTGAATGAGCAGACTGCAAGATAAAACAACTCCTTCCATATTCTCAGGCAGGTGAACTATGACAGAATATCAACCATTTTTGAATAAATGTTGTGTCAAAAATTTCTTGTTGTCTTAGCAAAATACACGAAAATATTAGCGCAATAGTAAAACGTAACTAAGACTTAAGCTCAACTACTTCATAAAGTTTTAATATAACCTCGGGCGAACTTATTCAAAACACATTTTCATTGTTGAAATATTAAACTTTAGCATCTTTTCGCATAACTATTTGCTTTCTAGTGACCATGTTTTCAAAGTAGAACTTTAGTAAAACGATCCAACTGTATCTCAAAACAACGACGAACCTGTTGTTCTGCACGGCTCATTATTTGTGAAGTAGAAGCATGAGTTGCCATGGTTTCAGCAGAGATGAGAAACAAGACGTCATCTAACAACCTTTCACCAATATCGTTCAACTGAAACCACAAGGAAGGATTTAGGTAAAAAAAAACTTTCCAATAATTTATAACAAAAAGTTTGGTCTTCCGCAATGATTTGAATACATTCGCGACGACGACTAATTTCTCTGCGCCAGCAGTATGAGGCGATGCTTAAATTTTGTCCATGTGCTGTATGGAAAAGAGATGTAGTACGGACCTCATCAACACCATTCTATATTATACTCTGTGTGGAAGCCAAGCAATCACCAGCGAACTAATGTATTTAGATATGTGCAACTACCATATCTTATTAAGCTCCTAAACTGTGTTGTTTCCGCCATTTCTCAGCACACTCCTACGTTCTTAAAGGTTACTCTCTGTGCCCATATAGGTACTTCGATATGCTACTGTAGGGGATTACCTCAATATTCTGAGAGACTTAACAAGACAAAGAAAATTGGCCTAAAAAGTACTTGTATTTTCAGTGCATTATGCAGTGTGGAAAGGGCCTCTGTTGCACGCTGGTTGGTTCGATCCAGCGCCCCTAGTTCGCTAAGCTTTCCATCCTTTCGGGGTCGGAAAATTCAAGCAAAACTTATCTGGGAGAATACCAGCACTTCATAGATCAGTAAGCTACCGCAAGTCATTATATTGGCCAGATACGTTTTCAATCACCTTTAACGATGCTTGGTCAAGACAAATGTTTGGCGTATCCATCAGAGGTTAATCAATGTAGAAAGATATGTCTCTTAATATCCTTTTATGGAGCTTGGCGAACAGTCTTTTCCTGGTTACGTATAGCACAACTGCTTTAACTGAGAGTCTTGCAAAAGAAGGCTGTACAACCAAAGAAGAAACTGTGAAGGAAAAGCACTGAAGTCAAAGTGCATATCCGGTAATGTGTTAAAACCACAAAAAAAATGAACCCTGACCAAAAATAAGTAAAATATCTTGTCTCGACATTCGAAGAGGAAATATTTAGTAAAACAAATAAAATAACCATTCGGTGCTAAAAATAGTCTGACCTTTTCAAATGAATTATCGACGACGGCTCGAGCGATGCGGGAAAGTAAGCCGCAAGAAGACAAGAGTGTTTGGAAATTTCCACCTAGTCGCAACAGGGATAAGGAAACAACATTTGCGGCGATATGAGGAAGTAACCTCTGCAATGGTAATATCTGATGTGAAGAAACGGCAGTACACTTAACAGAATATCTATATAAAACAAAAATTCCATGCGCATCAGTTTACATTGCACACGAGTACATCGACAACGGTGGAACCATCGTAATCCTAGTTCAAAAGCGTGAGTTTCATCAACATCGCAAAACATTCAGTGCTCCGTGATAGAATTTCCGATGAAGGGAATATGGCTTTGGCTTGTAACACGACTAACATATCTAGAGATATTTGAAGGACTGAAAGCTTAGACGCAACTGTCACACAAAAGCCAAGCGTGAAAAAGTTGTCGTTTACGAGAAGGTAGAACATTTTCTTACAAGCACAAAATGCCACGCACATCTCACCTCACGAGGATTTCTTCGAAGAAGATGATAGACTACATCACGAATGGGTTTACTTACTCCAAGAGGTAAACTAGGCAAATCAACTTCTTTGTAGGTTGCATTACTCATTCGCGTATAGAAAGGATTTACCCTGAAATAAAATCAAACTACAACTCTACATTAAACTCGCAGTGAAAACAAAACAAACAAACTAGGCAGATAACACCCAACAGATTACCAATATAAACAACTTGCTTCAGATGTAATTCAAAGAAAAAATAATGCTTATGACGTAAACTATTACATTAAATCCTCCACATTAAACCCCGCGCTAAGTAAACATATATATGTAAAAAATATTTGTAGGGAGTAATGCGCGTATGAAACGTAGACGAAGCAAATCTTAAGGAAGAAAATATGTAAATCTAGTAACCTGGTAAATATTTCGTATCCCAGTGCTCCAGCCGCCCAAGTGTCCGCCATGCGGAAATCAACGATGCTATAAACAAAAGGAAATACAGAGAAAAACACAAACGGAAAGCGAAAAACAAATTCCCGAAACGAAATTTGTGAATCATACGTTGGAAGCCTAGGACTTGATCATCGATGGGCATTACAAAGCGGAGAAAACGCAACTCATTGTTATGACAAAAGTGAATTTGCCTGTAATCAATTCAACAGTAAGTGAAAGATTATCCCACCAATCAGAACTAGGTGATGCCGTAACAATTTCAGGTGCTCGCATTTTCATATTTCCTCCCAAATCGATCGTGTCATCGATGTATTTAACACACCAACTTCCCGTTGCCAAAGCACATCCGAAATCAGATATAACAAGATGTGGTATTTCGTCTAAATAAACTGTGAGACTAGTGAGTGGAAGGCCGAGAAAAGCACAATGAGATATAACACCAACCAGGAAGGTTGAATTCTAGCAAGATATTGTCGCTCTTCATGTCCCTTTGAGATACAATGTTCTCATATAGAAAAACGCATCCTTCCAGCAACTGACCGAAAAGAACACGTGCCACATGGCAGTTATGCCGACGTTTGAAGTCCTTGACATAATCCCGCAAGGTCATATGGTACCTATGAAGTAGAAATACTGAATTCACTGTTTCGTCGATGAGCAAACATGAGGTTATTAAAACAGTATTTATTCATTCACAATGGCTAAAGTTTGGGCGATTTCGTTTTTTCAGAACCTGGAAAGGTTAAATTGACACGTCATCTACTCAGCTGAACGCTTTCGTAACCTCAATAAACAAAACTTAATGCGTAACCTTCCTTCGTATAATAAGCAGCTTCACTTCAATACTAACCACTTTTTTGTATAATGCTGAGATATTTGCAAAACTCCGGACCGCAGGTGTCTGCACTAGGGAACGAACGCGCTATTGTCCTTTCCGGAGAGTAACGCGTTCACCACCACACCATGCGGGCTCTTCGTTCCACCTGTCTCTCAGCTAGTTCTATCGATCACTTGCCATCAGCAGTCACCCGTCAACGGGATTGATCAAGGGAACCCAAATCGGCAATGAACACAGTTAAGCTGAGCCTATAGTTATAATCACAATCTTAACCTTTTTATTTACTGCCTATTCTTTTTAATAGCAGGGTATGTTGCCAAATATAATGATCGATGTCACATACCCTGGCATTAAAAAGAATAGGCAATAAATGAAAAGGTTAAAATTGTGATACTAACCACTTTGTGAACTTTTTATTTACTGCCTATTACAACTTTTTACGGTACGGTACTACCCTCCCAACGGTTTACCGCCTCATCGGGTTGGGAGGAGTTCCTGGGTGTCGGACTGCGATGTACAGCGGGGAGATTTGTCCTCCCGGCAAGGTCTCCCAAGCTGAGAAGTCCCGTGTTTCCACCAGGAAGCGTAGCTAAAAGTAAACCAATACCAAGTTCCGCCACCATCCTGGTATCAAAGTCGCAAGGTGGCAAACCTCTGATCCACAAGGGGTACGACTGCCTGTCGTGGTGACGACCTGGAGCAGACTTTGGCCAGACTATCCTCAGGATTCCAGTGAACCACAATGGTTTAACCAGCAAATCTCCGAAAAATGGTGATTATGCTGGGGCCAGTACAACAAGTGTGGATGGGCCATTCAAGTATCAAGTATCAAGTAAGGTATTACCTGTGATACAACCACAATGATGCTAACTCCGATATTTGATATTTGCAATACTCCGGACCGCAGGTGTTTGCGGCGGGGATCGAACACGCTATTACCCTTTCCGGGGAAAACTCGTTCACCACCACACCATGCGGGTCCTTTCATTTCGCGTTTCACTTTGCTAGATTTCTATCTGCTAACCACTTTGTTCTCTGTAAATCTTTCAGTTACTTGGTGGAGACCAGAAGCACAGAGTTTTACATGGGTGAGGAGTATGCTTGGCTCAGGTCAAAAAGCTACCTGTAGTGCGAGGCCATGCGTAATCACACGACATCCTCCTGTGCGATTCATTTTTGGATTTATAGAATTTATTCACAACGCTTCAAGAGTTTTAGGCGCTGATATTTCGGATTCTTGTGGGAAGATAGTGAAATGTTTCCAAATCTTCTCCATTGCGTCTGTGTCCTTTGAGCGCCTCGTGGAGTACCTGCTTTCAATTTACATTTACTGACTAAGTGTTCTTTTATATGAACGAACGCTCAGTTGCGTACTCATTTTGCCAGTGTATTCGTGCACCACGCCTTACAAGAGATCAGATAAACCATATCCGAACTCAAACGATCACCGTCTGTATCACTAGTGCATATCATGCAATTCTGCATTGTGCATAGACGGTTATAAAGGCAGCTACGAACTGGCGCCTGACAATGTTTGGTCGTCTTTCAAGCATTTTTGCCCAATTCTCTTGACCTGCACTTTTTACTGTGCCTACAGAAGAGTGTTGCTCGCAGACCGAACAAGAAGGCATCAAACTTAGACATTAACGCAACGATAAGCGGCGTGTGTGACGCAGTGGTCTAAGGCACCCTGCAACACACATGGAATCGATCCGCGTACCCATGACCCACCAAATCCTCCATCCCTACGGAGTGGATAATTTGGCACCAGACTTGTTTGGGAAGATAGCAGCACTGGCTCGATACATCGGTAGACCATCGTGAATCGTTGTAAAGGCTAGATATGCATTCAATCACCTCCAAATGATGCTTAATGAAGTCTAGTGCATGGCGCATCCCTAAGGGATTGATCAACGCCGACAGCCTTATCTTTTTAACTTCTAACGCAACTATAAGGCTTCGCACCAGTCGCTGTCTCATTTCCAAGTCTCTCATGTGTAAGGAATCCTTCCCGAATCATCTAAAGTTTAGGAACTTTTTTTAAGATGGCCTTGAGAGCTTTCTCTTTAACACAAATAAATAATGAATTCACAACACCATGCCGTGCGTGGTTTGATGAATAACAGTGTTATGTCACAATTAGAGCAGTAGTAAATACGTTGAATTGGTACCGTAAGTGGTTACGACCATTTGACTGCTTTAGTGTTAACGAGGAAGTCCAAAAACAAACCTTTTCATGACAATAAACATTGTTCTAGGCTCGTCAATAACTATATCATAAAACGACGCAGTTGGGAGCGCGTCAGGGTAGAGAAGTTTGGCATCGTCCAAATATGGCATCCGATCAATGAATGCAGTGAGAACTCGCACAACGTTTGGATGAGACGATGGAAGTGGTCGAAAACTTAAAAAAAAATTATCATAATCAAAATCGGAAACTTTCTAAGTCAAAAATCGTAATACCTCCCCATTTTTCCATGTAACAATTGAGCACTTTCTGGCAATGGAACAAGTTCGGCACCCATGGATCGCCACAAGTAGTTGTCTCCCAAACGTGGAGACATATCCAAAGCGAAATTGTACATTAGCTTTAGAGCAAGTGGATAGTGCTAAAGCAATTTTGGAGTAAAAGCTGAACCATTCATAACAGCTAGATGAATGGGGTAAGATAAAAAAGCAAACATGCAATGCGGGACTTCGACTGAATAATGCACGTTCAGAGCACTCATAAACACCCGATGGAGGCTTTTCCACATCTCGAACTCTCAGTGCGTATACAGCGGCATTACAACCATGCCCGATATTCCGCCCTAAAAGTTTTTACATACACCCGATAACAAATAAATTTCGGTTTCCAACTTCACTGATCTTTCTCGTTCTTAAGTTGCAGAAAGGAGGCTGATAACACATTATTTGTCCCAATTATTCAATATTCATCAGACTAATGCATTAGCAGAATTCGCGCTCTAAACAAAACATAATAAACCGGCACTCAACTCAATCGATGCTTAGTGCTTCCGAGAAATACAGAAAAGTATTAGATTGGAATTTTTCGGCCAAATAGTAAACCAAACAACAAATCATCTCATGCATTCCTCACCTTCTTCGCGGATGAAATGTAACCATCGCTCAAAGTTAACCTGAGATACACAAGCGCACATCTCGGATCGGCAAAGTGGTTCATCCTTAATGGCTGACAACCGATCAAGTGCGAAGCAAAAGCGACGTCGCATTTGATCTGAGATGCAGGTGAATCCTACAGATAGTACCCCTCTCTCTGCTAACTTCTGGGTTCAGTGTGTGTATAGAAATATTAATAAATGCGTATGCACTTATTCCCGACGCGTGATCCTAAACGTGACGTGAAAGGGCTAAAAGCACATCAAAAGCACAGATCAACTATGTGAAGAGGACGTTCGCTGGAAATAGTTCGTAGTCACACCAAAAAATAGGTTTCACTATCCACTACAGGAAATCTCGATCAGCTAGCTATGAATGAGTTTATAGGCCTTTGTGGCCCAGTTACGTAAGCTTTCCTTGTTATTTCCTTCCAAAGCAACAAAAATGAAAGAGCAAAACCTTTTTGACTTCGAAATAGACCCCAATATAGCAGTGTTGAGTGCAACGAGTACAAAAGAGAGAGTAAAATCAGAAGAAGTCTCATTAGTTAGAATCTAGTACTGTAGCAAATTAAAATCCTTAAGGACTTGGTAACGTAGAGTAGGAATATCACTTACGACCTAGTTAGACGGACGAAAAGAAGAAGATTCTACCCATTATAACAAGAGGTATTAGCCCGGAGAAAAGAATGCAAGCCATTTCAATATAGCGGTAGAATGACTGGTTTGAAATTAAACGCAATGAGAGCGATGTTCAAAAAAAAAGCATTCATTTGCTGTTGCTAATTGTTTAGAGGTGGCCTGAGGTACAAGCGGTCGTCGATTCGATCTAATGCCTTAAACGACCCAAGCCCTCCATTACTAGAATTCTGCAGCGGTAGTTCCAGCGACTCTACGTCATTGCATAGGACATATATGCACACATCGACTACACGATCCTGACAACCCTAACGTACATATCAAGAACTTGGAAACCGCTACACATACCAAGTGAGAGAAATTGTATGGCATCATGTAGCGCGTCACCAGACGCGCAGAACTAAAAACATTCTGCATAAAATAGCAGCTCAAGTTTTTTTTTTAGAAAACCACCGTAAATTATTGACAGACTACCATCGAGCAGAAGTTCAGTAAGTTACAGTGTTTCACTCATGCTATGAATAAGAAATTATGTATAATTTGAACTAATTCAACCTCGCTTCTGCGTCCAATTGGACTTAGCTAACATAAATTTTAATATGCATAAAGTGTTACGGAACGGATTAAAATCGATAAATAGGTGGTAAACCGTTGGGAGGATACAAAGCAAAATAAACTTAAAAGGTAAAAGTAGTGAAAATTAGTAATCACGTGTTAGCGCGTCAAGAACGCAAAACGTAACACCTCATGGAAACAAGGTTAAATAAACTACCAATGTCATATGCATCAATTGTGTTCGGAAATGTCTCTCTTGACAAGCCAGCATTGTAACGAAGACTTGTTGAAAACACATCCTAAAAATCTAACTACCGTCATTCAACGGCGAACCTACTGCTTCATGGCAGCAAGTACACCAATCGTACAATTATACCATTCGCTGGTGTCAAGCTGAACTTACTCGAATCCTCTCGATGAGTCCTGAATTACTCCGTTTCCTGACTATAAGTCTATGTGTTTTATTGCTATGGATTCTATCATGATGAAGACGACGATAGTGAATAGCTAAGGATGAAAGCGGGCGAAATGCTCGTTGGTTTCGTAACGATAATTGAACCTGTAATTACAAATATAATTTTCCGTCAGACTGCAACATTCTGAAACGCCTTACGGTTCTGTAGAGTAGATCTCTGGAAAAAGGTGCGCCTGCTCTTCGAATAACAACATCGAACTTATATGAGGCTTCAAATATACGTGGTAGTGCGTGTAATGCAAATGGCTTCCGGCGGAAAATATTCCAGATCGCCTATAAAAATTCTGATTTTATTTTAAAACGGTTCTAAATGGACATAAAATCTCCAACATGTTTACTCGTCTAACAGGTAAGAAATAAACCTGTACTCAGTAATAAAACTTATTTTATGTAACCAAGTTTTCTTAGTGGACTTCATTTTTGTCTCGTGGAAACGAAAAGCTCACCAAACTCTTCACAGCTGTCTTAAATTTCTACGGTCATTTTAAAAAATTTCCTTTTTAAAGAACTGCGACATCGATCTTCTTGAATTTTACACAGCCCATCTTCATAACTACTGTACGGATCACAGCACTTCTCGCAATCCACTCGTCTCCTCGCTTTCATCATCCACAAAGGTTTTTAAAGAAGCAATGTGTGGACCCGGCTGATTCTTGAAAAATAACTTTACAAATATCGTTGAACGCTGGTGGAATCGATACTTCCTCAATTCTTAAGACAGTTGTGCTAGAGCATTCCTGTTTGTATTTGAAGGAGTGAATTGGACTTAGGTTAATTGGGACCAATTTTCTGGCCTCAGAGGGATGAGAGACTTGGTGAGCCCTAGGCGGAGTTGAACCACCACTTCAGCGCCTTAACATAACATTTAAAAACGTTAAGTGTCAACGAGCATAAATGGAGTAACGTCTGCAACTCTACTTCCAACTTTCAATTTAGTAAGGATTTGATTGCAAGTCTCAGATGGCCAGGTTTATCGGTTCCCTGTGATTCCGCACTGCTTCTCACTCCGTACCTCCTAATCGTAAAGATTAAATGGGAATGAATATATGGAACCTAGGACCCAGTCGTTCACCACATACGAGAATGAAAAACGCATGCACACAAATTGTTGTAGGTACACTACTAAAAAAATTATCAGACCTAATTTTTTACCTTATGAAATCCTTCTGGCCAATAATAGCTCGAGGAAACAATATCTGACTGAAGAAAGGCAGTGAAGCAATTTTCCAAACTTGTACCTATCAGACTCGATCTCTTCCAAGTTTTTTTTTCCAAAACTGACAACTACTTCTGATTGCGTGCCATGAAAAGAATCAGAGGGATTCTAAAAAGTGATGAAACCAAAGGGAACTTAGCGTTTCAAAACCAAGTTGACATCACGATTTGGTTTGAGATCAAAATAGTTGGGTACAAGTGATATGAATGCAATGCAGTACCTACCCAGCAACATCGCCAGTGTCATTCCGAGCTGAACCTTCTTAACTTACTCTTACCGAAGATACAATCGCACCAAACGCAGTGCCAATAATTCAGTACACATGAACTCAACCGAGAGATGATGTGGCGGTAGACAATTTCTTAGTAAAGTCATGTGGACATCATATTACTGCAGAAGTCCAGTGGAGGCAAGTACTTGGTTACTTAGAAAAACCTCATCCTTACTACTTATGCATGCACCGATAATATTTTTCACGCCAAAAAAGCTTACATCAATTCAAACTAAAGAAAAGTCCCTTCAATAGAATTTTAACACATTCCCCTCGGTCAGTTTGTAGATGATCCCATTCTGGAAGTACCCTTATTACAAACCTTTATCTGACCAACAGAAACGAGCATGTGAGTAGGAACCGTCTAGAGAGCAAGTAATCCATTGTGATACGAGTATTATGAGTTACTAATAGTTTCTTTAAAGTGACAAATACCAAAAATTGATTCCGTAACTGTCATTCCAAGACGCAGCCGAAACAAAAGCATTCAGCAATACTACACGCCTCCAGACAACTTAGCACAGCACTGCATTATCACAAGATTTACTTTTACACCGTGGATGCCACAAGCGCTATGCTATATCTGGAATCGCCTAGAAACGCTAAAAAGGACGTTTAAATATTTGAAACACCCACTTTCCTTTAACCTCGGTATGAGAAATCAACTTGTGTTGATGTTGAGCTACACGAGGCTGATAAGTAATCTTTATTTGGCTAAGGCTTCATGTCTTCATCTTCATCAGGGCCGATGATCCGGGTCGACAGTTCACCGTCTATTCGTTTTTGCCTCCATCCCGGTCATCGGATCTGACGAAGATGCAGACGTCGAAACGACAGTCGAATAAACATTACATACTAACTTTGTGTAAGCTCAACAATTTAAACACTTGATGACGCTCGTTTTAATAAAAGTAGAATGCAACTAGTAAGGTCGCAACTTTCAATCAACATTACCAGCGAATTTGAACATAGCTGGAATTCCATTTGACGAAAATCAGACATATAAAGCACTTACTGCTCGAGTCCCTCTTTTTACAGCGATTCCGATCCTCTTCAGAAGCATCCTCGCATAAGAAATACCTGCTGAAGCAGAACAGAAATGTCACTACATTTAACATCTACGTTTTCAAGGAGCTTATAATTGAAGTTACTATAGTTGGTGCGGAAAAAATGTTAGGAAAAGATGAAATGAAGCCACAAGAAACCATCCAGCAACTTTTCTGAGCGCTAACCTCAACGAATTCCAGAGACCAGCTGACAGGACACCGCACCGCAGACGCACGCCGCCTCCTGTGCACGTTAGCGCCATAGCGCGGCAGATGCGAACGACTTCGGTCCTGAACATTAGCAGCACTCACTCAACAAACCTCATCAATAAACCGAGATTTCGATTATCCGTACCGAGTTTAATGGAGATCGGAATTGAAGGGTTGCGTCGATATAAGCCAGCTAGTACTAATCCGGCTGCTGCACGATGGACTATCACCAAAGAGGCAAATAACTTCAATTGGCAATCGAGCAGGAATCATTCTGTATCCTGCGGATACTCCCGGATGAACTCTGATCACTCCGGCACGGCGACTATTCTGTAGAAAAAGACAGTGCGAGAGACGCGACCACATTGGCGCTATTCCACTCGTCTCGATGTAACGTTAACGAAGACCGACAACTGAATAGGGAACAAGTGATGTGGGCACTCGACCCAAATCATTACGACCATAATAAATAGAGAACCGCCGGAATAAAGATTTTTAAGGGCTTTATGTAAGCTTCTCGATAAACCAAATTGGTTAGTGCTCAAATGCGACTGTTTGTATGAGCAAATCAATGGGATAAATATATAAAGGATAAAAATCTTGGCGTTGATCAATTAAGCATCGTTTGGAGATGATTGAATGCATAACTGGCCTTTACAATGATTCGCGGTGGCCTATCGATGCATCAAGTTGCTGCTCTTGTTTTCCAGACAATGTTGGTACCATTTTTCTTACTCTGGCTTGGTAGGCCCAAGGTACCGGACCGAACCATTGACCAACTGTGCATTGCAGGACACTTCTAACTACTGCGCTATACGCGCCCGTAATTAACGTTGAGCTGTCATATCCAGTGAAAGAGATCTGAGGATTTCGAATAGAACATGGACCCTCATTGACTGTTAACGGTCCAAAGCAAAGATAGGAACTAATGTCGACCTTGATGGCTGAGCACTTTAGGTGATAAAATCGAGCTATGGAGATGAGACCACGGCATTCTATGTCGAGGTGGAACAATTCTAGAACGTTGACCATAGGTTCTACAGGGTGATCTGAGCGAAGAACGGCTTCACGAGTACTGAGAGTTCCGAGAACCTCACATCAGCAAGCACAAGTGGAATGGAACGAAGAACTCAGTGGGAATTTTTCAGTTAACGAACGCATCGAAGGCAATTAATGTTCTCTCACATTTGTATAAGCTCTATTATCGAGGTTTAAAGTATGAGCTTGCTTATGGAGACTATGAGATTAGCAACATCACTGTTAGTAAACGATTTTTTTGCACTATTTCCGGTTCCGTTTCTGTCGAAAACGTCACAATTAATCTAAAGGTCAACCCGCAAATCATCTGCACGCAGAGGTCAATGGGTGCACATCACCCGACCAGACCGAGCAGTATAAGAGCACCATGGATAGCTGAAGAAGCGATCCGTCTCCACGTTTACGCCTTTTCTCTTGTCTCTTCCCACAAAATCCCTTTCTAGAACTCGTATCACCAAACCGAGTTCTACACGAAATATGTGCAAACGACTTCTATAAAAGCTGGGACACATCGCAGCTCAAGGAGACAGGACTCCTCCATCCGAAATTGTAGTACGTGGATGTAAAATGCTTTGTAAAATCGCTTACAGCGACTCGATCGGAATTAGTGAAACCACATTTCCATGAGCATCGTTCTGCGAACATACTGATAGCTTCTTCTGCTTAACAACAGTTTTCAACTCTGACAGCTGGGCACTGGGAGCCTCATAAGCTACAACATTCAATTCGTACTAGCTACTATGTATTTCTATTTGTGCAAGTCAAACTTGATAAACCTTAGAGCCTTGAGGAGCTGCTACAAGTCTTCTCGTGGTAGGACTCGTTAATAAACAATAGAAACATCGGTAGGCCCTCGTAAAACAATGTATGAACCAATTATGCATTCGGACATCTCTACGGTGCTCGACGAAGCCGAATGTAGCGCGGATCTCCAACTGACTGATCAACTCCTGCTTCACGTACTTTGTTCACAATTTAGAGATGGTGTTCAAAGTGCTCAACAAATAGGGAATAGTTAGAGCTGCAAATGAATCACAAGAGAGTCTAGATCATGTTAATTCTATT